CAAAGTTGCAAACTCCATACTTTATAAACAGTCTTCAGGCAATTTATAATATTAGTGCATGCTTTTCTGTGTGTCGTAATTTCAATAGTCTGCCCATCAGATATGTCTTGGAAGGCAGAATAATAAAACCCATAAACCATTCCAGTCTCAAGAATTTCATTAAGGCTGTTGATTTGTTTCTGTATATCTGGGTCGATCAGGTAACTGGTTATAAAGGCCTATGGTACTGTGCTCACTGCACAGCAGCAGCTTACCTAAAGGATGAAGAACAATCTAAGAGGTATGTTGTGTAGCATTTCAGGTACAGTTATCCCTTCTAGCACTGCCCAGGTGTGGGTTAAACAATCTGTTATGTTTTCATAACACAGTTTGAGTTTTTATGTTCTACTCCAAATTTGTCCAGATACAACATGATAACAGCAGAGATAAACACAGCCACAAATATGAGAAGTCACGCACTATGCAAAAACACTAAGAAAATGCTTTTCCATCTTAGAAGTCCTTGTGTACAAAGAACAACCCAAACAATTCCACCATTCATATATGAAGTGGCTCCCTCCATATATGGAGAACACTTTGATCTTAATGACAATCACAGAAAGCAGTGTCTGGCCTCTTATATGCCAAATCTGCATATATTCCCGTCCATGTACCTCCTACCAGCTTATTTCCCCATAACTCATTTTCAAGTTCAATGCATCAGTTACAAAATGGAAGAGCTGTATTTCCAAACCATCTTCATGGTTCATATTTAACTGATCCATAGTATTAGGTATTATGTAAGGCTACAATACCACCACAGCATTGTATGTCTTAAGTCTACACCATTAGTTACTGAGCTAAAAACAAAACACAGATTATATAAAGGCCATGTCTATAATAAGATATCTGAAAAGTGTACTAAAATGTCTTAATGGCATGTATTACTAGTATATTGCTGCTGTGACAGAAATTTTAGTAAGTAAAAATGGTTTAACTAAAAACATTTGTGCCAGTACAACATATCAGTAGGCCAGGGTGCAGAGCTATCAACTGGTGGCTTATTATGCATAAATGATTTGAACATGTAATTAAAATCAGTCTGATCTGAATGGTTGAAAATCTTGAAATAAGTAAGCTTATAATAATAGGTTTACTGTGATTGTGCCAAATCTGGAGAAATCATGTTTGAGAATTTATACGTCTGCCAGATGTGACTAGCAATGGCTGTATGACTGGGGTTTGATCCCTGATTGGGCAGAGAATTTTTCCTCTAGCCTCTGCATCCAGACCAGCTCTGGGGCCTACCTAGCCTCCTATCCAACGGGAACCGGGGTCCTTTCCTGGGGATAAAGCTTGGCTGGGGCATGATGATGACCACTCACTCCATTTAGTGCCGAGGTCAGGAAAGAGTAGGAGTTATACCACCTCTCCCCCCAAGTGACCTACATGGCATGTAGCAGGATGGCTTTACTTTTCAGTCAACTGAGAAATGCACCTTATCCACCCTTATCCTTCTGTCATCTTTAATCCACCAACAATGTGTATGTAACCTATAGTTGTATGTGTAGTATGCAGCATGCATCTTATCAACCCAATCATGTCTCAACATGACATTTTCTAGAAATATACAAAGAACCACAAAATGTTTTTTCAATTAAATCTGTTTCCTCATAAATTAAGGTCATTAGTCAATGTCTAAATGTGTTGTGCTCCAAAATATGATGAGTGGCATACTAGGCCACAAAAGCCCAAGTTAAGATCTACAAATTGTCATGGAGTCACTCTCAACCAGAACTGTGAATTATGGCTAGTGAAGAATACAACAATAAACTTTCTAAGGGTAGTGCTTCATAAGAAGTGATATTAAAATTTGATCAACTTTTGAAAGAGAAGACAGCTGGAGAAAGAAATAATATCAGGAAGTTAACTTTATTTTATTATATTATTTACATCATTATACTTTAATGGTTTACATATTTATTTACATTCTAGTCATATTTATATGCTTTACATTAATTTAGAATAAGCATTAGGTCTTACTCAACTGCCAGAGTACGTAACCTTTAGTACTTACAAAAAATGTGTATGTTGATTGAGAGTTGTTCCTCCTTGTAGTGAGTTGGCTTATCATAAAAACCTTCAACCATTAAAGTGGCCTCAGAACTATACCTACATCATTCCTATTCAAAATTATACAACAAAGAGCAACTCCAAGGAAAGACCAAGCAAACATAAAGAGATCTACAAAAATTCCCCCAATTAGTAAAAATTCCAAAAGTGCTTTTAATATTTCTTGCTATTGAAAGAAAATAATTGAACTCTCTTTTCCCTACTGATAAAAAATCCCCTCCATAAGGGTGCAGTATAAAATTAAAAAAATTAAAAGCTTTCATCTCTGATGATTATAAATGTAGAAGTAGTAGTATTTGAGCCCTGAATAGTGGTCAGATGTTAGGAATGTTTAGTTTGCTGGTTTTGATTTTGTATAAAGCACCAAGTTCTTGAAAACTGTTAAATCAGAAGACTTGCCATAAGAATCTATGTTAATGTGGAGAAACTGATAGTTTTGATCACATACTGCCAACACAGAAGCAAAAAACAAATTGTTGTAATTACAGTAAAGAGAGCCACTGTCATTTATCTGTTGCCCTTATGCAGTTTGGAACAGTTAACTCTTTCTCAAAACCATCAGCTATTTCAAGCTAATGCTCTTCTGTAAAAGGAGGAAAGCAAGAATATTTCATAATCCACTACTCTGCGTCACAAAATGACACAATCAATCAATTATTATAGTCATTCCAAGTCTGTATTGAAAATGTAAATCCACCACTAAGCAGCTGGTAGCTGAATCATATTCTCCAATTACTACATTACATATACTTTATGCAATGCATAAGGGAGAATGAAGCAGGCCTAACTTAAATTAGTGAAAATAAAGTATGAACGTACTTCATAAACACTTCTGTTTCTTTTTCAGCCTCATGATTCCAACAAAGTGCACCAAGACTGACTCAGTTGTAAAATGAACCAGAAAGACAGAAGAAGGTTTAGGGCATGCAGTGGACAGAACAGATGGGAGAAAGGCTGAACGCAGAAGAAATTAATGCCCAACTTGGGACACACAAAAGATGCAGATCTGAAAATGACTCTTAAGATGAAGGAAAACCATTCACAGTTTTGTAAGAAAAATTGTTAAAATGATCAGCCAAAGAACGAGAAACAAACAACAAAGGTACACTGTTTATTCCTCCCTTATTTCCAGAATAAAAAAAAGTTTCCAGCACTTATAAAATTGAACATCAAAAGTGATTTATTAAATGTTTTTAAAACTGCTAGGTTCAACAAGCTGCTTTTCTGTACATGCACTGTTCCATTCTACCTCTTGCCCACCCATTTCAGCAATGTGGTTATTAGGCCATGACAAAGCTCTGAGCAGAGAAACTCATATTTCAGTCACACACTCAAATTCAGAATTTAGGTAACCAATTATAAAGCATTCCATCAGCATCACATTTTCTTCAATCCCTGAAACGTTGTTTGATCATCAATTAAATTGGTGAATAAAGTAGGATATCTACTAAAAGATGAATATTGAACCTTGTTTCCAGTTTTACACGCAACTGAGTGATTTGAAATGAGATGTGATACATCCAGTATCAACTCCTGAGCATTTCAGTTACAAACAGAAGTTATGTTTGGATGGAATTCAGATAAATTATGCTAAGGTAATAATATTATCACAAATCTTCTCTGTGGACAGATATATGTTTTGTAAGGGATACCTTCTGAGTGAATGCTCTCCTGCAAGTTGTGCACTGAAAGGGTTTTTCTCCTGTATGTAGTCTCTGATGTACTTTTAGGTTTCCTTTAAGTGAAAATGCTTTGTTACATACTTCGCACACATGAGGTTTTGCTCCTGTGTGTAATTTAAGGTGTGCTTTCAACCCACCCTCTCTTCCAAAACCTTTCCAACAAATGGGGCATGTGTATGGAGTTTCTCCGCCGTGTTTTGCAAGGTGCAGTTCCATTCGGTGCCTGTTAACATATGACACACTACATATGGGGCACCTGTATTGTACCACATTAGAATTATTTTTATACTGCAATATTTTGTGACTTCCATTTAAAAAATGTTCTGATATTGAGGTATCCTCTTCAAATGAACAGTTTATTTGTGTGATATCGCTTTTTTTGAAATCCATATTATTACTGTATGTAACTGTAACAGAATCCTGTTCCTGTGAATTAGGAACACAGCTATTGCTATCATGTAAGTTCACACACACCATTCCACTGCAGTGTGAGTTCTGGGTAAGTGCTGGTTTGCTACATCTGGAAAGCAGATTACTTGACTCAGAACTGCAACTGTCTGTGCCATAAAGACTATGGATTTCTTCTAGTCCAAGATCCAGAGGCTGTAATAAAAATAATATTTTGTGTATGAAACTTAACAAGTGGAAAATAACACTAAGAGATGTATTACTGACTACCTATGCAATTCCATGGTGCATAGGAATTTCTGAGAAGCTTATACATAGTCTCTCAGCTATCTTGTACCTTTTACAGAACCCTAAAGTTCATCACACTTTTTACAAAAGCAAATCAGAAGAGCATGCCCTTCCTCTGGTTACAAAATATATTCCTGTCTGAAGCATTATAAAATGCTAATCTTAAAAGGTATCCAGTCATATATTAATTCAAAATAAAATTAATATTTAAGGCATAAGGTAAAAGGACATGAAGATGCTGTTCTAAATGAATAAATTCCTACTTCCAGTTTTTCCAAAGAATTGCTAAGTAACAAAGCTTTGTAAGATTAACCTCAGATATAAGTTACAATACTTGTGAATTTTTAAATCTAAGTAACATGCTGCAAATCTGTGATAAACAAAAACATAATTTATTATAAACAACCAGTCATAAGACTAGATGCTTATACCGAGGCAGCAAAAAATATTCTCATTATTACATTTTAGAAGCATTTTTCCTTCACTTACATCTTGGTCTTCAAGGTTGACAGTTGAGGACAAGACAAGAAGTGGCTCAGCAGTGTTGTCAACATCATCATCATCAGTGTCAATTTGAATTTCTACTGGAACAGTTTTACTCTGAGACTGCAAGAAATAGAATCTCTTTAAGAAATACTTTATTCTGACATGAAAGGAAAGGTGTGTATAAAACCCAACTGACTGTGGTTCATACAAAACATTTATTAGTATTTAAAACAGTTTGAAAATATGAAAAACAGGACTGTCCCTATGAAAATGTGGGGTCCAGGGAGAATCTGCCTCTGTGGGGCCCTAAAATGTTTTATAGATCCCCTTCAAAAATTTAATAATCCCTCCCTCAGTTGTGTTTTTTTTTGTCATTCTCAGTATTATATTTTGTGATGTTGATGCATGGAACTAGAGCCACCATGCATGCAGGTATAACCCTATTATGTACGGTTTACAAAATATTTACCCATTTACTGCGGAAAAGACTGGAGGAAGATTATATAAAAATTATAGGGGAATACCAATCAGGCTTCCACGTTTGAAGGTCGACTATAGATCAAATCTATACGGTGAAAGGTATAGCCGAAATTTTTTTTTTGAATTTTCTCTCAATCTTTATCATCTATTTATTGATTTTCGAACGGCATATGATAGCATAAGTAGAGAAGAACTCTATAAAATCATGGCTGAACAAGGGATACATCCAAAGATGATACGACTGGTCAAAATGACTATGTCTGGCTCCAAGACCCGGGTTAAGGTCTGTGGCGGTATGACTGATCTATTTGAAATTGGATCGGGACTTAAACAAGGGGATGGTCTAGCACCAATGCTCTTTAATCTTGCTCTGCACTGGGTTGTTAAACAAACCAAGGTGGATCTCAATAGCACATTATTATATAAGAATGCCCAAATAGTAGGATATGCCGATGATCTCGATATAATGGGTCGAATGCTACCAGAATTAGAAGGAATATATAAGGATCTGGAATTAGGAGCTGCTAAAGTAGGGCTACATGTTAATGAAAGGAAGACTAAATGGATGATACAAAGTAGAGATAGACAAAGAATAACGATCCAGCCTAACATGACATTGGAGATATTCCAAGAAGTACAAGAATTTAAATATCTTGGAACAATCCTGACAAGTAATAATGATGAGTTGACTGAAGTACAAAGTAGAATAACAGCAGCAAATAAAATATATTTTGCGTTAAAAGGGATTATGAAATCTAATTGTGTACATAAAAGCAGTAAAATAAGGATATATAAGACCATCATCAGGAGTATCCTCTGCTATGCAAGTGAGCTCTGGACACTGACAAAGAAAACAGAAATGATGCTGGGCGCACTTGAAAGAAAGATTTTGAGAAGAATCTTTGGACCAGTACAGGAAAACTCAAAGTGGAGGATACGCTACAATCATGAGCTATATAGACTATATAAAAGTGATGATATAGTAACTCACATTAAACTGAGAAGGTTGGAATGGGCTGGACATGTCTACAGGATGGAAGAGTATAGGATACCCAAAAAAATATTGGAAGGAACAATATATGGGAGAAGGCCAGTGGGAAGACCTAAAGGTAGAAGGCTGGATGCAGTGACGACTGACTCCAGAAATCTCCTTGGAACAGCAGCTTGGAGAAGGATAGCGTTGGATAGAGAGAATTGGAGGAAGAAGATAGAGGAGGTTAGGGCTCGATTTTGGGCTGTTACGCCATAGTAGTAGTAGTAGTAGTAGATGTTGATGCATGGCACCTCCGAAGCAGTGAAACCATGGGCAGCTTCCCAACTCATTCACTCCAGAAATAGCTATGTTAAAGAGGACTCTGAATCACAACATAAGAAACTATGATAGAGCACATGCAAATGCGGTACATATGGGGTATTTGGAAAACATGTAAACAGTTTAAAATGTGCACCACTATAGAATAACTAGTGGGAAAAGTAAAATATGTTACCACTGGATGTGGGGATGTCAGGAGTTTGGAGTTCAGTAAACAGTGTGTTCTGTGCATGATGGTGTAGAGCGTGGAGGAGCATGTGTTTATTGTCAGAACATTTTACCAAATGAGCAGATTTGTGAGAGTCAAAGAAAAGTTTGGAGCAATTTCAACATGTGGCAGGCACTAACAAGATCTGCAGTCATCTGTCTGGTACAAGTATGTATAAACTGGCAGTGTTTGTGACAACAAGAAAGATAAGAAGGGAAGGCACAGGTCATGGAAAACAGTATGCTCGTGTATGTGAAACATTGTTCTGGACTCTGAGAAAAAGTTCTCTGTCACTGGTATCAAATGCACATTAACATACACCATTATGCAATGGGATATGCCATTGTTTCCTTACAAAAACCAAGTGGTACAGAGCAGACAACAAGCAAAGAAGTGTGATACGTTTAGACTTCTTACAGTTTTTGAGCAATATGTTACCACTTTAGGCTGCTTGTGGTTTAGACTATTCCCACCTCAATGGATTCATGAACAAGGTTTTGGGCCCCTGAAGATTCTAACATAGTCATGGTGACATCACTTCCTCCTGAAAAATGTTCCATGTGGTGTGCAATCAACAAGGGAGGGCTTATTGGACTGCAAGCAGCCAGTGGTACCTGCAGCAACTGCAAAATAAGGTCATTTTAGTCATTCAAGGAGCAGGGTATGTGAATACAACGTTTTTGCAGCAGGATGGTACATGCCCATATACAGCAAATGTTGTCTTGGAGTCCTGCATGACGTGTTGCAGGTGGTCCTGGCCACCATGTTCACTGGATATGAATCCTTGTGAATATTTCCTAAAAGATCATGTGTACCACACTGACCACATATGTTTCTTGGAGTTGCAAGCTGTTGCTGAAGATATCACAGGTCACATGTTGTGATACAGTTGACAACTTTGCGATTTATTTACAGTGAGTCCATGAGGTCAAAGGACATCATATTGAACATGTTCACATAAACACCACATGAACACGAACTCTTCATGAAACTAAGCCTGCATTAATGTATAATAAGCTTCTGTACCCTAGAAAAGTATGAATATAAGGTTCATCAACACTGCAGCATGTTTTTCTGAGTACAGTATTACAGTTCCAATGTAATTAAATTTGTGGAACAAAATATTTGGCCTTTCTTAAACTGAGTTTTCAACTGGTTTTATTATTCAGTTTCTTTACACTGTACTTATAATTGTATTCTCCTTCCATGTATGTAACAATAAAAATATAATTGCAAATTTATATGAATATTTCAGAGAATAACATAACATAACATTACTACAATAAAGAAAATAACACACTAGATATCATAAACTCCCTCTCTTTCAAAACTCTTAGATGCTTTTTCACTTACACAAACTATCACAGAGATGCATTTCATGTAACATATTGTTTGAGGGAGATGGAGCAAGGTATTATCCTTATTTTCATCTGTAAACTCCTTACATAAATTTGAGTAAAATGAGATTTGAGGTTCTCACAGTGATAAGTATGAAGAAGGCTGTCTGCATGGTGCTATATCCCAGAAGACAGCCATCTTCAAATTGAGATATTCAGTTTATTTGATGTATAATTAAAACTGAATGCTGCTACTGAAGTTAATAATGTTCACGCATTAGTTGCACGTAGTACATAAAATGAATGCATAATTGGGATGTGATGGCACAATTCATCACCATATTCACTCCACGCATTTTGGTAAATTTTGAGTTAAAAGTTGCCAAGCAAATTTAATTTTTGTCCTTATCTGTCTGATTTATGTTAAATTCAAGCTGAACTTTATAAAATTTCTCATCATGCAAAAAACTGATATAAGATATAAAATAGTAGAAAGTGGTGCTTGAACCAAATGAACAGTGTATCCCTGTTAGCAAAAGGAACTGTCCAAATTCATTATTATTAAAACTTAATAATTAAAAATGACTTTATTAAGATATGTAACTCTTTATTTGAAACAGTTTTCTATATTACATATTTATTTTGTGACACAAGGAAAAATAACTTTATACAGATAATATTGCCAAAAATTACCAAACAATAGACAGTATGTCTTTATGCAATGCTCATGATGAAATACCACAAAGTCTGTCCCAGACTGGTTCTGAAGTGATTGATAGAGGTGCAGATAGCACATCTGGAAGTCAGCAGAAATTATCTGCAGGAGTGTTGTGATGAAATATAAGCTTTTCTGAATTTCACAGTAGCTGGTGGTGACAGCTCAGCCCACCACTGTGAGGGTACGAAATAAACAGTGCAGTGGCTGCACAAATTCTCTCAGGTTGCTAACAGATTGAAATTACAACAGAGAAAGTGATGTTAAAAATTTTCTGAGATTCCAGTAGCCCTGTATTAGTTTATTTTCAAGACAGAGGAACAAGTCACTGGCGTTAAATAAAGTGACATGCCGCATAACAAACTGATGCCAGCAAAACCATCAGCAATATGAAATTTGATAAAAATAATATTATTTATCCTTCAATCTACATAACTTTATTCAATATAGTATATCAAGGCAATATGTTTCTACCTTTTACAGTCATCTTCAGGCCTACTTTATATGAATCGGCCCTACAGTACTAATCACAAACCATGCATGAGTAATAAATCCAAAAGTGGATCAATTTTTAATCCTCCAACATCCATCATACAGTCCTGGCTTTACACCATCCAATTTTAATAATTCTGGGACACTGAATTAGTACTGTTAAGTTAGAACAGAGAAACAGTGCAAGACTGTGACAGCATGTATTACTATGCTGTCAATACCCCTGTAGGCACTCATTACAGTGAAAATGATTAATGATGCTATGACAGAATTTTGTCATACTTAGCATGAAATTAGTGGTGCATTAAATAACACTTGGTAAATTACATTATTTTCACAAATGATATTCACTTTGAATAAAATTATGTTTCAAAAGTGCTTTACATTCATAATATATTAAGTCAAATGCAGGCCTACTTGCAAAAGAACTCTCAGCTAATGTACATAGGATTGCATTTAACCTTTCACTGTCCCAATGCAAATCTTTTGTCTGGTTACAGAGCATCTTATAATACAAGTAGCTGTTGGCTATGATTAAAAGAACTTGTGCTCTTCTTCTGTGGCAAGTATCAGAGC